AAGAAGGATTGTGGTTCCCAGCACACAAGAGGTTGATGTAGGAAGGTCATTGCAGGTTTGAGGCCGGCCTAGGGGTGACTGGGCTACATCCTGGGCTACAGAGTAAGACCCAGTCTCAAAAATCTCCAATCACCCAAAGAAAAAACAACCAAGAGAACTGAAGGGAGTGTGTCCAAGTTCAGCGCTCAGGAAGGCTCCTGTCACCGGTGATGTGGCCTTGAGAGCAAGCTCTTGGCCTCATTGTCCAAGTTTGACTCTTCTCTGGCTGGCAGGCTGTCTGTCTGGATTATCTCCCCTTATCCACATGCTTCTCATCCACCTGTGAAAGCCACACTGTCAGCCCAGATGCTTGTCCACAGCCCGGTGAAATGTGGCCTGTCCACAGAGGAGTATGACTCAGTCACAGAAAGGAAGGAAGGGTGGGGACGTTGCACTTGCCCAGCAGCCTGGAGAGAGGCCCTAAGGTCCATCCCCAGCTCTGGATAAAACAAAACAAACAAAGTTCTTGAACAAAGCTGTAGTAGCTCATACCTATAATCTCTGCTTTCAGGAGGCTGAGGCTGATAAGATAGGAACATGGTAAATTCAAGGCCAGCCTTGGCTATAGAGCAAGACTGTCTAAAAAAAAAATAAAAAGACATAATTGCTATAGAGATGGTTCAGCATTTCAGTGTGCTTGCTGATCTTACAGAGGACTGGAGTTCAATTCCCAGCACCCATGTTGGGTGGCTCACTACAGCCTCTAATTCCAGCTCCAGGGGATCCGGTATCTCTGACTGCCAGCATGTGTCCTCATGTGCACATGCCATACATAGATACACACAGAGAGATTTCAAAATAAAAATGAATTTTAAAGTCAAATAAAACGGAAGAGGGGACAGTACGGCCACACGTCTGTGAGCAGAAGGCCAGAGTTCACTAGGGGGAATCTATGAAAGCATCCACACTGCCTGCTGAGCCACTCAGCCCTGTGTCCCCACCTCACCCCACGCTGAGGATTCTCCACTGTTTAAAGTCTTCTCATCTTTGTGACCTTTGGCTCACAGGTGGCTCTGGGTGGAGTTCAGAAGCCTTTATGGAAATGAAAAGACTTAGGACAGGCTGGGAGTCAGATTGGGGAGTGGCCGACTGTGCAGGCCCCTGGGTCAGCCACTCTTGACCCTGCTCCTGCCCAATCAAGGCTGCAAAGTCACCAGGATCACCGTGTGGCATTGTTACAACCTGAGCAACTGTGCACAGACTGTGATCTGGGTAGCCCTAGAGGGTCCCCAACAAGGAGGCCCTGGACTGTGTGCTGAGAACTGGAGAAAAAACACAATTTTGCCTAATGGTAGTGGTGTACACCTTTAATCCCAGCACTGGGGAGGCAGAGGCAGGCGGATCTCTGTGAGTTCGAAGCCAGCCTGGTCTACAGAGGGTGCCAGGACAGCCAGGGTTACACAGAGAAAACCTGTCTTGAAAAAACAAAACGAAAACAAAAAACCCACCCACCCACCCAGACAAACAAACAAAACAACAAAAGAGAGTACAATCTAGACCCTAGATCCCAGGACATCAGGGGACAGATGCGATGGCCTTCAGAAGCAGCAGCTGGGGCAGGCTGACAGGAGAGACTGCTCCAAGGGTGTAGGCATCCTTCTGGGAGTGGCAGTGTCGGGAAGCCCCGCTGTCGTGCTGGTTACACAGCCTTGCGGATGCGCTGAGGCCCGCCATATTGCACAGTAAGATGGTTATAATAGGCGCTCTCATGTTATATGTATTTTATTTTACTGTGTGCATGTGCATGTGTGTGTGAGAATGTAGATGCTTGTGTGTGTAAATGTATGTGGAAGCTAGGTGTCTTCTTCCTTTCTCTTGTTTTTTGAGACAGGCTGTACTGGCTAATTCTATGTCAGCTTGACACAAGCTGAAGTCATCTGAGAGGAGGGAGCCTCAATTGAGAAAATGCCTCCTCCATAAGACCAGGCTGTAGACAGGCCTGTAAGGCATCTTCTTAATTAGTGACTGATGAGGGAGGGTCCAGCCCACTGTGAGTGGTGCCACCCTAGAATGGTGGTCCTAGGTTCTATAAGAAAGCAGGCTGAATAAGCCATGAGGAACAAGCCAGTAAGCAGCACCCCTCCATGGTTCCTGCATCAGCTCCTGACTCCAGGTTCCTGCCCTGCTTGTGTTCCTTCCCTGACTTCCCTCAGTGATGAACAGTGATGTGGAAGTGTTAGCCAAATAAACTCTTTCCTCCCCAAGTTGCTTTTGGTCATGGTGTTTCATCATGGCAATAGGAACCCTAACAAGACACAGGGTCTCTCTCTGTAGTCCTGGCTGTCCTGAAATTCTCTCCATAGACCAGGCTGGTCTCAAACTCAGATATCCACCTGCCTCTGCCTCCCAAGTGCTGGGATTAAAGGCGTGCGCCATCACATCTGGCTGGTGTCTTTTTGAGCACTCTCCACCTTACATTTTGAGGTGGGGTCTCTCAATTGAATCCAAAGTTCACTAATTCTGTTAGTAAGCTTTCTTCAGGGGTCTCCATCTTCTGCACGCTCGCTGAGCTTACACGTGGGCTGCTACACCTGCCTGGCATTCACACGAATGCTAAGGAGTCCCGGCACGTTGCTCACACTAGCTTCGCAAGTGCTAGCTTCTCACTGAGCCCTCTCCCTAGACCCGACTTACTGATTTACAATTTATACTTACTAAGACTTGTTTCTGCTTTATTTACAGTGAATGTGATATGTGGGGGTGCCCTTGGAAGCCAGAAAAGGGCACTGGGCATCCTGGTGCTGGACTTAAAGGCAGGTGTGAGCCACCCAGGGTAGGTGCTGGGGATTGAACTTGGGTCCTCTGCAAGAGCAGCAAGCACTCTTAACCACTGACCCATCTCTCCAGCCCCTATTCATTCATTTTTTGAGGCAGGGCCTTATGTAGCCCATGCTGGCCTCAAACTTGCTGTGTAGCAAGGAGGACCTTGAACTGCTGATCCTCTTGTTTCCATTTCTGAGTGCTGATATTACAGACAGGCTACGTGTGGTGCTGAGGTTGGAATCCAGAACTTCATGGGAGCCAGGCAAACACTACCAACTCTCCAGTTTTTGTTTTAATTGAGGCAAAATTTATAGAACGTGCAATCGTCCATCTTAGTTTAGACCATTTGATGGCGTTCTGCCTGTATCGCCTCCCTCAAGTCCCAAGGCATTTCCTCGCTACGGCAGCTGTTTGGGGGTTGAGTGCATTCATATTTGAAAGTCTGTAGAAGGGTGTCTGGAAGGGGACGTACAAATGAAGTGGTAGGGATAATTAGCAGAACCGAACTGGGAAGAGGTTGTGTGGGGGTGGAGGTGGTGACATTATTAACTCGTGTCCCTTGCCCTGGGGCAGGACTCGGTCCACACACGCACCCCCTTTCCTCAGGCTTCCCTGCACCCAACAGGCCACCACTCTTTTTCCTAGTGCGGTCCCATCTCCCCTCAAGGTTTGGAGTAGAGGAGGTTGTGACTCAACTGTGGTGTTGGGAAAACACCAGCTGACGGTGTCACAGTCACTGTGTCTTGCTGATCCCGGGACCCAGAACAGGTCCCCTCAATGAGCCCAACTAGGTAAGGCACCTGAGACCGAACGATCGCCTTCGGCAACTTGGGTTATCTTTTGCTGCCACCTTGTGGTAAGTCTGGGAATTTTGACTCCCAGTGCTGTACTTTTTAACCTAGCGAGCACTTGGCACAGGCATACTGCTAGGTCCTGGTAAACTCTTGCCGCTACCTGGGCAGCCACGACAAAAAGGATGGCAACGATACCGGAGCCACCTCCTTTGCTCTAGGTGAAACAGCAGGCTGGGGAAAAGGAGGGCCGATGGGGGTGAGGCTGGTCCCTGGGCCCCCTAGGAAGACTGGCAGGGTTTGGAGGAGGCTGAAGTTAGAAGAACGGGCAAATGCCTGCCTCCAGGGTGACCCCGTGCACGCCTTCCCTGATTTTCTCCTCCCCAACACTTTCCACCATGTCTAAATTATCAAATAATAAATGTTACTTTATTTTTTAGACTCATTTTTTTTCCGCGCAGAAATGGTTTATTATTATAGAGAGACGGAGAGAAAATAGGAGAGGGAAAGGGGGGGGGGTCGAGGGGTGCACACCTCGTGGGAGTGGAGGGAGAGAGCTCTTTTTATTATTTTAAATTATGTGTATGTGTAGGTAAGTGCACGTGAGTGCAGGTCCTGCAGAGGTCGGAGGAGCTGGATTCCCCCGGAGGTGGGGTTACAGGACGTCGTGAGCACTTGAACTGGGCGCTGGGAATCGAACTCGGCTCCTCTGGAGGACCAAGCAGTGCATATTTTAACTGCTGAGCCATCTCTCCAGCCTGCCGAATTGATTTAACATCCGAAGGCCTGACAATGAACGCTCTGTAAAGGTGCATGCGGAAAGGTTGTGGGAGATCACTGCAGCCTCTGAAGCGAGAGCAGGTCGGGGAGATGAGCTCAAGGCCAGGTGTCAGCCGGGCGTGGTGGAGCACATCTGTAATCTCGGGAGGTTGAGGAAGTATAGCCGCGAATTCGAGGGTGCACTGGTCCACAGTGTGAATTCTGCCTCAGAACAAACCAAACAACGAGAAGTTCAGGCGCAGTGGGATGAAGGAGAGGTTACACAGAGCGAGGATGCTCTGAACTGTACCTATGGGCAGGTTCAGGTGAACGGGGCGGGGTGGGGGTGGAGGGGACCTGGGGGCTGGGTCCTCTGGGGGGGCTGACGCAGATTGAGTTGGGGGCGGAGCCTTTGCTGGGTCTAGGTGACTATAGACCGGTTCAATATGGGCGGGGCCGAAGGCGTGACCAATTGGGAGCGAGGGTGGGGCTGAAGGCGTGACCAAGAGAGGGACGAGTAAAAACGAGGGGCAGGGCTTAAAACAGGGGGCAGAGTCTGGCCGGGGTGGGTTGGGACCAGACCAATCAGGAAGCAAAGTAAGCCTGTAGGGGCGGGGCCAGGCCAGGCCAAGTTCTCCCGCTGTCCCGGGTCCTGGAGCTCTCCAGGCCCGGTATGTCTGTCACCGCTCTGGTGCCTCTTTTGCGGGCCGGGCCACCGCGTGTGTAGGATTGAGTAAGAAGCTGGTACAAGGCTGAGGCTGTTGAGCTCAGGCTCTGCGCTCCGGGTAAGGTGCCTGCTGGGACTCTGACGAGCTCAGCTCCCTGGGTCAAGCAGGTGCCAGAACACTGTGCTGTGGTGTCTCCAGCAGCCCTGAGGGTGAGCGGGGCTGTGGGGCCTGCGCGTGCATGCGTGTTTGAATAGCTTTGTGTGGGTGCGCACTGTATGCACCTGGGGAATAGTGTGCGCGTGTGTGGAGTTGCTACCGGGAGCTGAGTGCCTGTGCAAAGTTCTGTGTTGCGTGTGCAAGGTCTGTTCTGTGTGGGAGTGGAGTGCAGGGGTAATGTGCAGAAGGGTGCATGTGTCAGGGTATCATGGAGAGAAATGAACTGGCAGGCACAAAAATACTCGGGGTGGAGGGTGGGCAATAGGGCAGGGTATCCGTGGCAAGCCATGGGGCAATATGTGAGGACAATCGTGGGGATGTAAGAATTGAAATGCATGTGCCTGTTTGAGTGGGTGGCATTGAGGGTGCCTCTGGAGGCCTCTGAAAGAGTGGGGATGGGGAGATGGCATGGAGTGCTGCTTGCTTTCAGAGGGGTGAGTGTGCGTTGGGGTGGTGGGTAGTGGACAGGTGCCTGGCCTGGCTCAGTGGCCAAGCATATCAGTTTCTTACTTTTAGGGCAGGGAGAAGAGTCGACCGGTCACTGAGGGCTGGGGCTGCCCTGACAGCATAGTGTCCATGCTTCGCGGGAAGGGAGCTGCCACCTCACTAGGAACTCTTTATTCACAGGCTCTGTGCTCACCCTGTCCTGGTGGTGTCTGAGTTCGAACATGGTGCAAAAATACCAGTCTCCTGTCCGAGTGTACAAGTATCCATTTGAGCTGGTCATGGCGGTGAGTGACCCCTGGTTCTTGGGCTCTCTTGTGACTGGAGGTCAGCTATGGTGGGAGGGAGAAGGGACATTTCAAACTATGAGATGGGGAAGACTTGCTGAACTATTCAGCTGCCCTGACTTCTTTGCATGGCCACCCCCTTCCATCTGTCATGACTCTTGGAACCCTGCCTAGCAGATAGAATACAAGATCTAGTGTGGTGGTATGTGCCTGTAATGCCAGCATTCGAGGGGCTGAAGCGGGGCGATCAGGAGTTCAAAGCTATCCTGGGTTACATAGGAACAAAATCAGAGAGTCTGAGTATGTAGACATGGCTGCGTGTCTGGCAGGGAGGCAGCTGGGTGCCTAGGGCTGACCCCGGATCCTTGGCCTCCTGGGCCAGGTCTTTGCACTGAGGCCAGAGCTGGGGCATGCCTTGGACTCTTTCTCTGGGTTCCGTCACTCTGCTCCCGGAGCTTCGGTCTCCTTGGTGAAATGGGGCAGAGCTGCAGGCTTGTGGTGGAGTAACAGAAGTGACGGGTGTCTCAGAAGCCCCATGGTTGACACATAGTAGGTACCTGTGACATATGGCATTCCCTGTTGTCACACAAGATCCAGAGCGGAAGGCAAAGCAGTGGTGAATGCTCGTCCAGCTTGCAAAATGCTTTGAGTTCCACGCCTAGTGTGCCTAGCGTATACACACACACACACACACACACACACACACACACACACAGAGAGAGAGAGAGAGAGAGAGAGAGAGAGAGAGAGAG